CACGGATGGGGCTGGCGGCACCATCCCCTCCCAGGACAGGACCCCGCTGCGGTTCGCTGCAGCCAAAAGGAGCAAAGGAGCAGGGCAAAGAGCTTCGGGCTCCCACTCGCAGCCGCTGCCGGCCAGCCCTGCTAACAGAGCAGAGGAGGAGGAGGAGCAGGAGTTCTTTATATGACTGAAAGCAAATGTGCCAGATGGACTCGTCGTTTCCAAACAGCAGAGGAACGCTTTTGTGTGTATTGTGCCTCCTTGTGCTGTGGCCACCGATGCTACTCTCCATGGGCTGGGGGCTGAGCAGGAAAAATACCACTGTGTTTACAGAAAGGTTTATTTTTTTTAATGCAGAATAGGTTGCAGGATTATTGTGCAATGAATGGGCATAAGCCATATGACTCCTAGAGCTGTTCTAAGGTGTTAAAAATAATAGTCAGTAATATGTTCAGACGGGCAAGTGCAACTTGCCCAAGCAGCAGGACGTCCCCAGCTGCCGGGGCTCATCGTCCCTTGCCGGGATGTATTGGCACAAGGTAGTATGGCACAGTCACAGAGGTAATGCTGATTTTCCTCTTGGTTCCTTCTCGCTTCCCCTGTTGTTGGTATTTAAAAGCTGTCAGTATTGTTAATTTTATGCAAGATGGGATATTTTAAATATCGCTGAAGAAAAAAATTTCTAGAGAGACCTTGTCCCCAAATTAGCACAGTGCATGCAAAAAGCAAACACTTGCGGAGAGTAGTTTGAGCTGTTTCTGCTCCAGTAAGCCCTGCTGCTGCTTATTTGTATGACACTTGACAAAATAAACCCAGCAACAGGCCAGGCTTTGTCAGACCAGTGTGCAGCTATCAGCAGGCAATCTTAATTGGGTTTTAATTAACAGAAGACAAGAGAAGTTAAGAGTCTTGGAGGGAAATGCTGAAGAGTAAAAAGGACAGGAGGAATGAAGTAATGTTTCAGCAACAGACAATGAAATAACTCCCATCTTGATCAGCAGCTTTCTTTTCTCAAGTAGGATTAAGTAAATCTCAAAGGGAAAGCGATGGGAAGGGCATGACGGAGGAATGAAATTATTAAAAGAAAAGCCAAGTCTGATCGTACTCACCTTCCAAACAGCAGAAACAAAGAGGTAATTTCTCCTTAAATATATCTAAACTCTGCTTTAGGCAAAAAAGTGAATTTGTTTGGAGAGTGCCTTCTCATCGCCTCCTCTTAGGTCATAACTCAAGTTTGAGAGGCGATGGAGAGGCCGAGGGTGATGCGCAGCAGCAGAGCCTTCTTGTGGGGGGTTCTGCACAATGTTATGGGTGTTCAACACTTGTACATGTCGCAGCTGAACACAGCCCACGCTGCACTGCCGCAGCTTCCTTACCCAGGGAAGCCCAAAGCCACCCCATGACTGCTGGTGGGCTGAGCAGCCCAGTGCGACCAGAGCGCGGTGCCACTGCTGGATGGTGGCTCGGGCTTCGGGAAAGCCCGGCTTTTTGGGGAAAGTCTGAAGGTGCAGCCAAGTTGGTCTGAAGAGCTGCAGGTGGGAACAGGGCAGTCGCTGCTCTGTGCTGTCCCAGCTGGTGTTGCCCCGGGAGCGGTGCTCACGTACCCTCCGATTCAGGGACCTAAACCTGCGGAAAGCTGAACAGGACACTTATTTCACTGGACACTTACAATCCCCTCCCTCCCCCCCCGTTTTCATAAGCTCCGTAACATTTTGGACTTTTTAATAAATCATACTGAGGTATTTTACATCTGAGTGTTATTACTCAATCTTACCTAACATGCTAGGAGCTGCGCCAGTGCTTTCCAGAGACGGAGAAAAGGTTTGGTGGATGAGGAAAGTAGCAGAGAGGAGAGCTTGCCGGTGGGTTAGTGCTCCGGCTCTGCTGCAGTGCGCGCGAGGGCGGGCTGGGAGGGATAGGGAGGCACGGGGTTACAGCCCTGGCAGCGGGCACGGACCAATAGTCATGAACACAGGGCTACGAGAGAAGTGGGATCACAGCGGCAAATGGCTTTAAAGAGAGATTTCATGGTCTTCTCTCTACTCCCATGCCAAGTCACGCTTGAGTGTGACTCTATTTAGCGTATTCCCATTTTACCTAAGAGAAAGGGGGTAGAAAGACAGGATCTAGTATGGGGAAAATGTTGCCTCATTTAAAACAAAAAAGAGAAGAAAATGATACGTGAGGCTCGCCTGCCTGCAACAGATCACAGAAGACAAGGAATTCAAGTCAAAGGAAAAGTGCCCTGAAAATATGCTTGTAACAGTGAGTGTATAAAATCCACGTATCTTAAGTGCCGGATGCACCTATTGCAACTGCTGTATTAAGCAGGCAGTAGGGTCAGAGGGCACCGTTTCTCCCTGGATGGATTCAGTAGTGGCAAGAAAAGGTTTACATTTTCTGTGGACTTTTCATATGTCTGCAACTTTTAATTTATGTTTCTTCCTTACATACTGTGCCATTTCTTTTTTTTTTTTTTTTTTTTTTTAAGAAAAGACTAGTAAGAGAGACCACGGGCCGACAGGGGTCTGCTGAAGCTCTGTGCCCCAAACGACACGTGAGCAGCTCGCAGGTCAGCAGCTAGACCTGGCAGCCTCTTGGGCAGGGGCAGACATGCGAGATGTGCGAGGCTGGCACTGGGCTGAGCTGGGGGCTTCTCTCTCCCACAGCTCCCATCCTGCGTGCTGCTCCCGGCAAAGCACACAGGGGGAAACGGTCTTGGTGGAAAACTGAAGAGGGAGTTTTGAAAAGTTCTACTCAGTGGTAAGATGGCATTGCAATCCTGAATTAAGGGAAGTGAAGGGGTTTTACCTTCTATTTGTTTCGTGTTTGATATGAATGATTTAGTCTAGTGGAAATGGTTCTGACTTGTCTGTGAGCACCAGTGATGGTGCTATGGATGCTGAGGTGCTGATTCCTCTAATGGACACCTCCATGGACAGCAGCTGGGGTGGTCATTATAGATGGGCACTCTAGAAACAAAATTTTAATTTTCCAAGACGTGTGTGTTTGGGAGGGTGGCAGGCACCCTCACATCTGTCAGGTGGTGTTGCACCCAGGAGCCTGAGCATGACCCCGGGACTCCTGCGAGTTGTGCTGTGGGTGACCACATTGCCAGGAGGGAGCAGAGATGCTGCTGTGGCTGTGCTCAGGGAGGGACGATGGTGAACAGTCCCAGCCTGAAGGGGAAGGCTTTTCTCTGGAGATGGTCACACAGTCTGCGTGATGGAGAGGGGAAATTTGTTCGCAGGGTGACAAAGCGGGAGCAGGGCACATGCTAAGAGCGGGAGCTGCTGGCAATGCGAGTTGGGCGAAGCAGGAGATCTTGCTCTGGAGTGGCCTTAACCCAACCCGCAAAGGCGGCTGCTGTTGCTTTTATTGTTTTAGCCCCTGGCTACAGACACGGTGCCTTTTGTGTCCCCTGAAGCGAGCAGAGTGGTATTTCTGAGGGAGGAGCAGGAGTACTCCCCACTGCCTGGATACGGGCACAAAGGCAGGGGGTGCTCCCCCCCGCCTGGCACCCTGCCGCAGCGCAGCGCAGGCGGGCACCCAGGCAACCTCTGCTTTGGCCCCTGGCCGCCGGACTCAGCGCTCACGCCGCAGGCTTGGCCTCTCCTCCTAAGGGCGAGTTGGCAAGCCTGGTTCTTTTGGGGAAGCAAATGCTGAATGCACTCTCCTTTCCCGGGTTTGGGGCCAAATTCAGCTTTTGTGAACAGCTCGGTAAATCCTGAGGTAGCCTAGCGAGCACAGCCGAGCTTTCCAGATTTACAGTGATGGCTCTGGGGTGGGAGTTTTCCTTCTCTCCGCTCAGGCGGGACATTATCCATCTGAGTTGGTGCCGGGCTCTGTGCTGAGGCCCAGGAGAGACAAAGCTTCACAGCCACTTGGTGGAGCAAAAACAGCCGCGTGTATAAAAAATTCTGTGTGTCTGTAACGGGGGCACAAGCCAGATGTTGTCCCTTAGGTACAGAAGAGCGCAGCAGCTCCAGCTCCTCTGCGCCGGGATGTGCTGCTGTCGCCTACGCACAGCGCACCCGCAGCCCGGGCACCCGCCACCGCGCCACTGCCCTCAATGGCATAGGGGAAGGGTGCAGAGTCGCTGAGCGATGGGTTCCCCCGTTAATCTGCATGAAGCTGGAGAAGTAATGCAAATTTTCCAATTTTCCTCTACTGCCTCTCTGCCGCAGCGCGGGAGGCACGCCGGGCGCCCTGGCCCCCTCAGCCCAGAGGCTTTTTAGAGTTTGCCAGACGTACTCTTTTTTTTAAAAAAAAGAAAAAATATATTAAAAAAAATCATTTGTTTTCTTATGTTTCCCTGGAGCCTGGCTGCGGTGGCGGGGTGGGGTGGCGAGG